TCTCTCCCCCCCCCCCCCCCCCCCCCCCAAAATCCATAACAGACCCTTATCAGAAAATGCAGCTCGGCTGGCCAGGAAAGGGGGGAAAGCAGAGCAAGTGAGATGGGACTGGGGTGTAGCTTATCAGAATCTAGAAGCCCCCTCTAACCACCGGTAGGTTTTACCCCCTTCATGACCAGGGCACTTATTTCATCACTGTGCTACTATGGCTCATGCAACAACTGTATGCAAATTAGAATTTTTTTCACACAAATAGAGCTTTATTTTGGTGGTATTTAATCATCGCTGGGTTTTTAATTTATTGCTAAATAAATGAAAAAATACAGAATTTAGTTTCTTCATTTTTATTATAAAAATTTGAATCCAAAGATCCCAAGGGTCTGGTATAAGCTGGGGAAGGAGAACCCCACCCTCTAATTTTTTTTAAATGATGGCCCTTTTGTTTACATTCTGCTGTCTGCTGACAGCAGGGATGACTATCATTGTTAGGATGCTGGCCGGTGCAGGCTCTTTACCAACTGATTAATCATTCCTGCTGCTTACAGCAGGGATGAGTTACTGGTTGGTAGAATGCTGGTGGGTACCAGCTCCTTAACAACCGATGTCTCATCCCTGCTGGCTCCTGCGGAAGTGCGTGCTATGGTTATATCCACACCTCCCTACAGTTGGAAGAATGCTCCTTACCTTAGTCAGTGGAAAAAATGCTTCCTGTATTGCTCGGCAATGGGAATAATGCTCCTCACACTAATGGTCATTGGGAAGAATGTTCCTTATACCGATAGTCAGTGGCAAGAACGCTCCTTACATTGATGGTCAGTGGCAAGAACGCTCCTTACATTGGTGGCCAGTGGGAAGAATGCTCCTTACATTAGTGACCAGTGGCAAGAATGCTCCTTACATTAGTGACCAGTGGCAAGAATGCTCCTTACATTAGTGGCCTGTGGGAAGAATGCTCCTTACATTGGTGGCCCGTGGGAAGAGCGCTCCTTACATTAGTGACCAGTGGCAAGATGCTCCTTATATTAGTGACCAGTGGGAAGAATGCTCCTTACATTAGTGACCAGTGGGAAGAATGCTCCTTACATTGGTGGCCCGTGGGAAGAACGCTCCTTACATGGGTGGTACGTGGCAAGACTGCTCCTTACGTTAGTGGTCAATAGGACAAATGCTACATTCATTGGTGGGCAGTTTTAGGAATGCTCCTTACACTGGTGGTCAGTGGACAAATGCTTCCTACATTGGTGGTCAGTGGGAAGAACGCTCCCTTACGCCGGTGGTCAGTGAAGCAAATGCGCCTTACATTGCTTGGCAGTGGGAAGAATGTTTCTTACACTGATGGTCAGTGGGAAGAATGCTCCTTACATTGATGGTCAGCAAAAAATGAGAATACTCCCCTTACAGGTAACTGTAAAGACCAATGGTGTCAGAAATAACTTCTCTGCAAGGAAGTGATTTCTCAAGGAACCCACAGCAACCTTTGGAGGAACCCTAGTTGGGAAAGGGGGGGGGGGGGGGGGGGGGTTAGAAAGACTCAAAGTATTTAGCAGTTAAAAAAAAAGAAAAAGAAAAATGGTAGAAAAAAAAAAATTAGGACCTGCTGAGAACTATACTCTTCCTTAGTCTCTGAATATCACAGCTAAGCAGATCTGAACCTGAATAAATCTTTTCTTTCATGATGGAACACTGGAACCCACCATTTTTTGAATATCAGCTTGCTTGGATTCAACCTTACACAATTTCTCATTGCTTGCTATGGATTGTCAACCAGGATTATCCTTTTGGCATGCCTTTATTGAATAATCACATGTGATATTCAATAAACACTCAAGTAAAAGCAAAGTGCTATAAAACAATATCTAATCATTAACACTAGTGCTTTTGTCCAAGGTCTGGCGGTCTTTACTAGAGCAAAACACTCATTGTTTGCAGCCACACAACACAGACGTCACAGTCCTACACTATAAAACCTGGAGAATGATGTATTCAAGTGGAACAATTTCAGATTATGGCTCGGCTCTTATCTGAACTGGCGGCATGCATTTGTTTTATGGTGGCAATAAGATCATTTTAAGGCTTTAACTCAGTAAAAGGATCATATCCACACTTAATTATTCAAGACCACATTATGCTGATATCCATTACCGTCATGAACCATGATTGAGATCATGATAGATTGATTGATACCTGTTCAGTACTTGGACAACAGAAACCTACACAGTTTCCAAGGTATTGATATTTCATAAGCTTAAAGTAAACTGGTCAAAAAAGACTAAACAATGCAAACTGAGCATACGAGTAAGTAAAGTAAAAGCTTTTCAGTGAAATCCAAATAAAAAGGTTCAGTAGATCCAGAGATTTAGGTCACTGATGTTATAGGCAAATCTCAACCGGTCTTGTAAAAGCAAAATATGACCCTACATCTTACCATGCCTTCCTATTGGTCTATTGATGTGAATGATATCCTCAATAACACATTTGAATTGCTTGCTAAGGAAATAGGCTGGTTTATAATATGTTTATAACTTTAGCTGCTGATTAAGCTGAACACACTTTAGAAAGTAAATTTTGCTTTGCCTTTTTATTATATGCTTAGTTTCAGTTTCCTGGTTTGTTAAATTTATTATAAGCAGGGCAGGGTTCTACAGATCAGCATGCCAGGTGCTATGGTTTTTCTTATAATATGGACATTGCACAGTACAGGTATGGAACCTCTACAAGAGCCAGGCCTTTGAACCACGTAGTAGTTTCTCCCAACTGTGACAGACTAAGTCCACCATAGGTGGCTTGTGTGGGCCAACCCTCTTTAAACAGATAAAGTACAGCAAACAAATTCATTTCAACATTCACTCTGGAATTACACCCACAGTACCTCCATAACCAGTCTTTGGAAATCCAGTAAAAATTACAACAGAGAATATGGTCAGTTACTTGAAGAAGAGATTGTCATTGGTCTCAGGTAAAACGTTTCATGGAAAATGCCATCGGTCAAGAAGAATACAACAGAAAGAAAATATAATACTACAATGAACGCTGATAAGGGGGCACATGCAGTACCTTAATACCGGGCCCCATCGGGTCAAGCAGGGGGGCCTGGTCTGTCCAGTAGGTGGGGTACTGAACCCCATGATTTCAGAGGGGGCCTGGGAGGAGAGAGAGATCTCAGTGACCCCCAGAGGGCTGGTGGCTGCCTGTGTGGGGAGCTTGTGAGAATTTTAGGCCTTGATGGACACTGGTCCTTTATTCATGTGTTTCGGGGGGAATAGGGTGTTGCTTAACTGGAGGAAGTCTTCCAGATAAAGTGGTGGCCAGAAGGGTGAGAATCAGAATGGGATGACATAGCAATGAAAGGATTACTGGGTAAAAAAGGGCCTTTGTGGGGAAGAGGAAGCTGTCAGGCAAACTATGATTTCTAATGGTGGCCCTGCAGAGAACAAGGTTAGTGACTGGGGAAAGTACCCCACACAAAAAGGACTCAAGTTGATACAGTATATCAACAACTGAATGTTGTTGAATGTTGGGCTTCAATGGAGCATTGTTCTGTCCCTTGATCAGTGGTGCTTCCTTTGCACGGAATGTTAATGTTTTGTTTCCCTTGTTTGATTATATAGTTTGCAATAAAATAGGGCCATGGGAGTGGCCATAAGTATTCATTACATATGCAAGCTCTGCTTCCTGCTTTGCCGATTTGTCCTACACTGCTCCTTCTTGCAATTCAAGTCTATGGGGTTAATTTACTAAAGGCAAATAGGTTGTTCACTTTGAAAATAAATCTTTCCCATAACTTCTGACTTCCATTATCCAATCATGTGCAGCCAAAAGTAATTTTTTTTGCATTTATCTTGTGTGTGATTGGTATTCATTGCAAAATTGCAATTGCAGCACATTCACTGGGAAAAATTCCCTTGCAAAGTGCAACTTCCCTTGCAAAGTGAACAGCCTGTTTGCCTTTAGCAAATGAACCCTTATGAGCCCGCCGACTCATTTACAATAATTTCCTTTCTATCTTACACTGTGAAAATATCAATCACTAAGGCTTGGGAGTCTTCTGTGGTTGATATTGCTGCTGTGAAACACAAGCTCACTTAGATCATGCCTAATGAGAAAATAGTAAGCATCCTACAGGATAGGCAGGTGAGGTTTGAGAGGGTTTAGAATTTGTGAATATGTTACCTGCAGCCCTCTACTTAAAGTGGAACTTAACTGTATCTGAGCACCACAAACCAAAAACCAAACAAACCAAGTTTAATTCATTTTTTTTTTAATATTTAAAGCAAACTCACCCATCCATCCATGTCTCCATGCTTTATTTATTGAAAAATGATTTTGAAAAACACCTCCCTAGGTGTTTAAAATAAGTAAATATAATATACTGTACATTCCTATCTATTTACGAAGACTACCAGCACAAAGATTAAAAACATTTAATGTTGATTGTGAGTAAAGTTCCACTTTAAAATAAACGAGAAACCCTGCAGAGAAGTGGAAGCAAATTCTTGTGTAATGGCCCAGACAGGTGAACAGACCAGGTAACTAAAGTGCAGATATTTCACCAATAGATTCCCTGAACGTCCTCAAAAGTCAAGGATCTTCTATTCTGCAGCCACCATCTCTGCATTTAGAAACAATCGTTTTAAACATAAATTAAAAAAAAAAATCACCATCAGAAAAACAAAAAATATAATTACCTTAGACTTAGTCTTTGGTCACTTTGCCTAGGTGAGGGTAATGTCATTGAAGCTGCAAACACACTTCTGCATAGTACTGGAGCTCATTCTTTTGAGATCTGGTATCCTCAGCTTTTCCAGGACCCCACAATGAGGCCCAGTGTCGTCACCCTAGCCTAGTATTGCTTTTGTTTTGTTTTTAATTAAACAAGATCTGCTTAAACTCTCCCGCAAAGTGAAATACAAGTTTTAGGTGGACTTACCATTAAAAAAATCCACACACGTGCCTACATAAAACAAAGTAATATACCCTCAACACATGTACAGTTAACTTACCGTTCAAGCCATTTCCACTGCAAGAAGCGAGAGAAGTACATGCTCTCCTGAAAGTCCTCAAATGGTGCACCACTCAGATAGTCATGAACCACTCTGCAAGAAGCAAACATGACAACTGTTACTCAGGGGGCAACTCAGACTCAAGGCTTTGCAGCATCTCTAGTATTTGCCATGACATTTTGTTAGCTTCTATCAGCTGCTTAGCCTCATGTGCATTTCATCTGTGATCACCAATATCGCAGCAAGGAGAGTCAACATTAGCACCAATAAGAAAGCATTGCCTAGTTTAGCACCTGTCTAGGTTAGGTGGCAGGTCTAGGTATGGATCAGGGGTGGACTGACAACTCATGGGGCCCCCCGGGCAATAGAGGATCATGGGGCCCCTGTGTCCTTGCCCAAACTCAAAAAAGCCTATGAAAAAGGAACCAGGGGCATCTCATGGGGCCTCTTAATGACCCCGGGCCCTCGGGCAGTGCCCGAGTTTCCAAATGGTCAGTCCGCCTCTGGTATGGAATGAATAGTTATCGACCTTTTACAGGGCTTGCCAGAAGCCATTTTAGAGTCTGAAATATAGCTGAATTAATTAGTTAGGGCTCATTAATAAGTGCAGCTTAAATGCTGCCCCTTGGAAAAGCAATCTGTTGTAAACCACTTTTCAGAAGGTGTTTGACGGACAATGAGGAGATGACACATCACCTGCTCACTGCCTTTTTTTAACCATAAAAATGGCGACCCACCATGGCAAAACTGTGTTCAGCACTGAGCTGCTGCATGCCCCAGTTTAGATGGGTGGCTAGGGGTCAATCTCCAACCACCCCCCAACCGCCTGTGTGAATGAGCCCTTAGACTTTTTTTTAATGCTTTGGAAGTGTTCAGAGCATTGGTTGATGATAAGTTGATACATGTGAACACTGTTATTTATCTTTTTGTTTCTTCTTTAGTACATTTTTATTAGTTTAAGAATATAGGGGAAATAAAATACAATTGTTATACATAAAGTAAGAAAGATAAAATCACCAAATAAATGGATTTATAGTAATATAGACATGAATAATGACTGGGGTATGTCATATACATAAATTGGTAGATAAAATAAAGGAGAAACTAACCAAAACAATAGGGTACCATTTTTCTGCAAAAGAAATGGAGGGAGGAACTGAAGAGAAAACTCAAGATAAGGGCCACTGACATAGATTTAAAAAAAAAAAAAAAAAAGAAATTGTGAGTATATCATAAGTGCAGTAGGAATCTATCAAAGATTGGAGGAAGGAAAGATGAAATCCAATGGGACCATATTTTTTTCATATTTGTGGGAATTGTCAGAAAGAATTGCAGCAAGTTTTTCATTAGACATATACCACATCATTTTATTTCTAGCATCCATTCTTATCTTATGTATATTCTATCAGCACTAACACTTTCTTATATTTCTTTGAAGGCGAATGACCAGAACTTCCCTATCTGTCTCAGGTTGCCCCACTGTTGTCAATTTAAAGGAAAACGATAGTTTTGCAAGTCTTTTTTAATTCTAAGAAATCCATGCTAAAGTACTCACAAACCCTAACGAAATGGCTTATAGTTTGATAAACATTCTTTTCAGAATCCAGGACATGGTCAAACAAATAGCTATTTCTTCAAAGCAGAAAAAGGTAGGAATCTGCAACAAAGATTGTTAAAATCCCAGCAATGCAGACTGATCACCCAGAGGAGATTGTGTTTATAAAAAGTGGAGTTAGATTGGCCATACATTATACAATTTTCTTCAGAACTTTGCTTCAGATTTACCAAAAAACATATAATATGAGGTCAAATGTACACAACACTTTCAGTTGTATGCAATTAGGCAGGCCCTTGCACTACATAACTGAAGGTAAATCTAAAGGAAATTGGGCAGAAAATTGTATAGTGTATGGCCAGCCTTGTTCTTTAAGGAAAAACTGTACATATAATAGCTGTAAGTCCCTCCACCTCTGTAACCTCCTTATATTGCACAGAAAGCTTTCCCATGCGGCCACTGAGACCTACATACCCTCTGTCCACAAAAAGACTTTCCTGGCTCTGATTCCACGCAATCACAGAAGAATCTCTATTTATTCTCCAATGGCAAGGCTGTCAACCAGTTTTCAGACTTTTCAGAGGCAAATCTATACCTTCTAGGTGTCTTATTCTGTATTTTATCTTCAACAGTTGCCAATTCTGACACATAGATCGCTACTACGGGAAGAATCTACAAAATTAAATACCCCATAAATGTATGCGAAAACAAGCGTTTAAAAAATTCTCAGCATTAAAAATTACTTTGGCATATTTTATAACTACATGCACTCATTAAAACGATATTTTCCCTTTAATCTGTCTTTATATATTGCAAATGTACTGCTCCCAGACCAATGGGCATATGACCAATACAAATATGCCAGTGACCTCAGTAATGTGAGCAGGCAGCATGGTTTCTATATCTACCTATCTATATGTTGTAATCTGGATCAATATCGTCATTCACAGCACAGGCCTCCAGCACAGAATGGAAAACTTAACCATGACAAGGTAAAGGGCAAACATTCCATTCACACAGAAGAGAACTTGCAATCTGCTCTGCATTCCAGATAAAATGTTACAGGCAAGGGGTATTCATTTATAACTGATCCCGAAAAGGGCAGCAGACAGCACTCGGCTCCAGATAAAGAAAGCAAGTGGTTCAATTAAAGGACTGACAAACTGGAAATACACCATGTTGCCTATGCTTAAAAGAAATTATTATTATACAGTATTATATAGCTCTAAAAGGTTTGCTCAGCGCTGTACATTATAGTGGGGGACAGTACATGAGACAATACAATAACAAAAACAGAACACGAGGGATTCAAGGGCCCTGCTCTTTCGAGCTTACAATCTAGGGGAATAAATGCCCATATAATTCATAAATATGTGGTAGATTGTAAGCTCCAAGGAGCAGGGCCCTCAAACCCCTCGTGTATCGCATTGTATTGTTATTGTACTGTCGCATGTTCTTTCTCCCATTGTAATATACAGCGCTGAACGAACTGTATAATAGTAATAATATGGTATATAAATTAAACCTCTGTCGGATTCCCAACAGCACATCAGGGATCTCTCTATTTCACCAGCAAAAGTATATGTCTAGCAGGTTCCAGGGAAAGTGAACCGAAAGCGTGTATAGCCTAATTGCAGGCATCAAAGGAGGTGAGCGCACATCTTCACTATTTGAAGGATTCACAAAAGTCACTAATAGAAGAACAACAAGCACCAAGTCACTATATATAAACAATTGTTTATTCAATGGGACTATTATTTTGATGATATTTGGATTCATACTAATCACTATTAATTATTTATGAGCATTTGGGTATTTTTATTTATGGGGGATTTAGTTGAGGGTTATTAGTTGGTTTACTATTTTTTTTATTATATTAAACGAGGGTATTATGAATATAAAGGAAATTGAGGGTTTTAGTAAGTACATCATGTCACTAATAGATGATTTATGAGCACTTGGTAAAAAAATTTTTTTAGAGGAGTATTTCATGTGGAATTATTTTGATATTTATTTGGAGGAGATTGATTAGTTGAAACTATCTATTTAAATATTTTTTGGTATTTATACACTTTTATTAGTTATTTGTATCATAATTTGAATTAATTTAATGGTAATAATTTAATTATTTTTTGAGAAGTATTTAGGAGCGCAACATATATTTGTAAGCACATCAGGTATGACATAAGCATGCTTACATTGTGCCAAGCCAGGCCAATGTGAGCATGCACAACAAATAAACCCTAAGTTTTCAGCATACACACCTATCTTAAAAATTGCTACAAGATGTGATCAAAAAGTTGTGATCAAATTAACAATAGAAAGAAAAAAAAAATGACCATGTTACAAATAGAGTGCAGCTGTCATCCGCACATATATTGAAATGAAACAGACTGACTTAAGCAATACCCCCTTTCCATATATACATGAGCCCCATGAAATTTCCAGTGCTTTATTCTGCAGTCATTTAACAAAGAATGAATAGCAGCACCATGTACAGAGTGGATCTGTCAGATCTGGAATGACTTTGGGTCATATCCAGACATGTAGTGCACATATTTTTGTGCTGCCGTTCCAGAAATACTGGCTGGAGAAGCATGCGTTGGGTGGGAGACTGACATGTCTACACTGAAGTTTACAAAGTGCATTCCTCGGGATTAATGTAAAGAAGGCATATATTTATGTTGCGCAAACCAAATTCTATTTTCTTAACTGCTGTATGGAAAACCTGCTATTTATTATACTGAAATGTATTACACACAACTACAATTACAGTGGAATGTTAAACATGATAATTTCTTGTTTACTTTAGTTATGAATATATCTGTAGCCTGAAAGGAAGAGCATAATCCCTTTTGATCAGGAACCTCAAAATCCCCCTAATATAATGAAAGCAGAGATGTTAGTCTGACATGGTTCTGTAGCTAGATTTTCCTGATTATTATTTATTTCTGCTCATTGAGATATTTGGACTAACAGCCCTAACCGACACAGAGCCTTTAACATAGAGCTCTATCCGAAACACTTATATTTTGGTTAGCAAGGGGGTGGGTTAGAATTTTATTGCCATCTGCTCCCCCAGTGGAGAGGTTTCCTGTCTTGCCGACATCCAGGAGGTTGCTGTAATTTTTTCCCCTATCATAAGTTCACTTTAGAGGGAACCTGTGACGATGTAAAATATAGGATCTGTCATTGCACGGTTGTTTTTAAAGGCTCAAGGCCAGAATTTACTCTGCCTTCCCTACCTAGAGCTAGGATTCTTAACCTTTTTTCAAATTACAGAAACCCAGTGGATTGCCCAAAATGTCCCCATACCTCCTTCAACTGTCAAACTCATCATCACCAATCCTATTAGGTACCTCTATGACTACAAAAGCTGTCAACAGCTTGGTTTTACTTTACATATCGTTAGCTAGGAACAGAACAGTAAAACTAGAAGGTTTTTTACCTTAATGCATTCTGTGCATTAAAGTAAAATTTCGGTGT